CTCTTTTATTGAAACACCCTATAGTTCCCATGGTACACATTTTTTCTTACTGCAACATGCAATCAACCCAACTTGTCCAACCACATACATATACAGGTATATTCCTAGTGGTCTTTGGCTGGAGGGCAGTGGCAAAGCCCAGAGAAGTCTACAGACCTCCAGACAACTGCATTCCAAATTTCAGTACAAGATTGATGATTCCTCCCATCTTCTGCCCAACCCCTATTCTCAAGATGCAAGGGCTAAAGTTTTTATCTGCAGCACAAAGAGTAAGTCATGGAGATGAAGGCAAGACCCTGGTAGAAAAAGGCAGGTAACCCTCCCACCCCCGCCCCAGGGAAGCAATAGAGAGAGGATGATTCCTGGCATCTCCATTATTTTCCCATTCTATTTGGCCAAAAGGAAGCAAAGTAAATTAGAGGGCCCTAAAATCTCTACTGTTGTAAAAGTCCTAGTGAATCCCAGAACTGTTCTCAAACATACTACAGCCAAGTTAGGGAGCGTAAGCCATAGCGAGAAATAGGAAGAATTCAAATTGTGCAGCTAGACCTCAAAATTCCCTGCCAGCTAATTTCATAGGTTCTCTTTGGTCCTTTCATTAGCCTTACCACAAGTATTTTATGTACCCAACCTAGTTGGATCCCACATAACCCTGTTATGGTAGAGATTTAAATTCTATAGGACTGTAAATACAGTACAGGCTGTGAAATCAGCCTGCCTGGATTTAAAGTCTGGTTCCATCCATGCTGACTGTACCACCTTGGCCACGTGCTGTGCTTATTGGGAGACTCAAGTTAGATACCTAGTAAGCATAGGAAGCACTCAATAAACGTTATTTATTATTAATTTAGTGAAGGAATTACAGGGATTTTTTGGTACAGTTATATATTAATCTGTGACCCTTTTAAAGTAATAGCTCTATCAGTGGCACCAATGTAAGAAAACCACTTGGAAGATACCAACTAAGTAAATGCACCTTAAAAACATATACCAGGGCTGGTTAAGCGACCAGCTCTTGATCTCAGCTCAGGTCTGATCTCAGGGTTGTCAGTTCAAGCCCCATGTTGGGCTCTGTGCTAGGCCTGAAACCTACCTAAAAAAAGAGAGAGATGGGCAGCCCGGGTGGCTTAGCGGTTTAGCACCGCCTTCAGCCCAGGGCCTGATCCTGGAGACCCCAGATCGAGTCCCACATCAGGCTCCCTGCATGGAGCCTGCTTCTCCCTCTGCCTGTGGCTCTGCCCCTCTCTCTATCTCTCTCTCTCTCCCTAATAAATAAATAAAATCTTAAAAAAGAGAGAGAGAGAGAGAGAATAGATGGACCAAAAGACAAGTGATGCTGTGGGTACATATAAATTACTGCCCATACTTCAATTCTCCTGCTGGGTATTTTGCTAAAGTCAACATTTTAGTATCCTGGGTAATAGTTCATGGGTGCAAACTATTTAAAAATAGGTTAATCAAAAGCAGGTCACACATGAACCAATGAAAAATTTGTGTATGAACCAATTAATCCCATTCTGTGCACCTGAAGTTCAAAAGAAAAAAGGAAAAAAAGCCAGCAAAAGGAAGAAGAAAAATAGATCTCTACTACCTGGTTAACAATTAAAATCCAAGGTAATCATTAAAGTAATTGACAAGAGAACTCTAAGATATTCATAATACTGAAGACAAAACAGAATTATTACATGAATATTTAAAAGTTAAATACTACACAATATACAAAAGTTAACTCAGAATGGATCAAAGAGGGGATCCCTGGGTGGCTCAGTAGTTTAGCACCTGCCTTCGGCCCAGGGCATGATCCTGGAGTCCTGGGATCGAGTACCACATCGGGCTCCCTGCATGGAGCCTGCTTCTCCCTCTGCCTGTGTCTCTACCTCTCTCCCTCTCTCTCTCTCTCATGAATAAACAAAATCTTAAAAAAAAAAACAAGAATGGATCAAAGACCCCAAATGTTGAGTTAAAACTATAAAACTCTAAGAAGAAAGCATAGGTAGGTATCTTCATGACATTGGATTTGATGATGATTTCTTGAATATAACACCAAAAGCATAGGCAAAAAAGAAAAAATGCATAAAATGAACTTCATCAAAATTAACAATTTCTGTGCATCAAAGAACACTATCAAGAGTAAAAAGACAACCCACAGAATGGGAAGAAATATTTGAAAATCTGACATTTAATGAGGGACTAATATCCAGAATATATAAAGAACTTCTGAAAGTCAACAAGTCAATTCAAAAATAGGCAAAGGGGGATCCCTGGGTGGCGCAGTGGTTTGGCGCCTGCCTTTGGCCCAGGGCGCGATCCTGGAGACCCGGGATCGAATCCCACGTCGGGCTCCCGGTGCATGGAGCCTGCTTCTCCCTCTGCCTGTGTCTCTGCCTCTCTCTCTCTCTCTCTCTCTCTCTCTCTCTCTGTGACTATCATAAATAAATAAATAAAAATTTTAAAAAAATTTAAAAAGGCTTTAAAAAAAAAAACAGGCAAAGTCGGTGTCCATTGAGAGATGAATGGATAAAGAAGATGTGGTATATGTATACAATGGAATATTACTCGGCCATTAGAAACGACAAATACCCACCATTTGCTTCGATGTGGATGGACCTGGAGGGTATTATGCTGAGTGAAATAAGTCAATCAGAGAAGGACAAACATTATATGGTCTCATTCATTTGGGGTATATAAAAATTAGTGAAAGGAAATAAAGGGAAAGGAGAGAAAATGAATGAAAATATCAGTGAAGGTGACAAAACATGAGAGACACCTAACTCTGAGAAATGAACAAAGGGTAGTGGAAGGGGAGGTGGGCGGGGGGTTGGGGTGACTGGGTGATGGGCACTGAGGGGGGCACTTGGCGGGATGAGCACTCGGTGTTATGCTATATGTTGGCAACTTGAACTCCAATTTAAAAACTTAAAAAAAAAAAAAAACGGGCAAACTACTCAAACAAATATTTCTCCAAAGAAGATACACAAATGGTCAGAAAGCACATAAAATAATGCTCAACATCACTAATCACATGGGAAATGCACATAAAGGCCATGATGAGATACCATTACACATCCATTAGGATAACTATTATTCTGTAAAACAACAGAAAATAACCTGTGTTGGTGAAGAAACTGGAATCCTGGAGCACTGCTAATGGGAATGTGAAATGACACAACCACTGTGGAAAACAGCATGGCAGTTTTTCAAAAAAATAAACATAAAATTACCAAGTGATCTCACAATTCCACATCTGAGTATGCACATATCAAAAAAAAATTGAATGCAAAGTTTCAAAAAGATATTTCTACACCCATGTTTATAGCAGCACTATTTACAAAGACCAGGAAACAACCCAAATGTCCACTGATGAACGAATGGATAAACAAAATGTCATATGTCCATACAAGTGAATATTATCCAATGCCAAAAAGGAAAAAAAAATTCTGACACATGCTACAAAATCCATGAAACCTTGAAAACATTATGCTGAGTGAAATAAGCCAGACATGAAAGGACAAATACTGTACAATCCTACTTATATGAGATACCTGGGATAGTCAAATTCATAGAGATTGAAAGAATGATGGTTACCAAGAGCTGGAAGGAGAAAGGAAAGGCGTTCCGTTTGGAATGACAGCAAAGTTCTAGAGATGGGCAGTGGTGATGGTTGCACAATGATGTGAATGTACTTAAGCCATTGGACTATACACTTAACAATGTCAATCATAAGCTATGCATATTTTATCAGGAAAAAAGGTAAAACTTCTAGCATTACATGGTAAAACCAAAAAAAAAGGTTAATTAAAAGAATCAGCAACAAGTCCTAGAGAAAACTCAAATATTTATATTCACTCTGAATATGAATAATTTGAAAACAGAATGCCAAAGACTAGAAACCTAATGAGCCTGTTCAGTGTCTGTAGAGCCTCTGTAGAGGGTGAAGTACATTCACCACCCAGGGGTGCTGGCTCAGAGGAAGCCGGATGACAAGGGACAGAACTAAAGAACTTTAAAATCAGCACCAAAACTAAGTTGTTTTCACAGTAGCAGAGGTAACAAAGCACCTGACTACTAAAACATGGGTCCCTTTCTCAATCCAATGACAGAACATCTAATTAACTAAAAAGTAAAGCCAAAAAGCAAATAGATCAATAGAACAGGATGGATTACAAAATCTGACAATTATAGTTACCCAATTCATGACAAAGGTCATATGTCCTAAAGTGACAGGACATCCAGATGGAAAAAAACGACTCCTACCTCAAAACACACACAAAATAAATTCCAGATGAACTGCAGCTCTAAATGGGAAGAGTAAATCAGAGAATATCTTCATAATCTTGGAGTAGGCACAGATTTCTTAAACAGGACATGGGAAAGTACTGACCATATAAGAAAATTTTTTGATCAAGTGAACTACATAAAAATTAAAAGAAAAAAAAAATTAAGAATTTCTGCTCATCGGAAGATATCGAGTAGTTTAAGCACCCACAAAATGGAAAACCAAAAACATTTTCGATACATATACCTGACCAAGGTATCATATTCAGAATATATAAAGAAATCGTGCAGGTCAACATTTAAGAGATTAGAAGGAGAATTTAGAAATGGGGGAAAGATTTGAAGACGCTCCACAACAGAGTTCCAATGACCCTAAGTCCATGAAGAGGTACTCAAATTCATTCATCAGGGAAGCGCAAATGCTCTTCCTAGGCAACAAATAGGATGACACGCTGACTACAACGGCTTCCGTTTAGAAGAGCACAGAAATGCCAGGTGTGCCTAAGGAAGAGAAGCGAGCGCGGCTGTGACAGCGCTGCGGAGCGCACGCCGCAGAGGAGCGGTCCCGAGCGGTCCCGAGCGGTCCCCAGCCGTCCCCAGCCGTCCCCAGCCGTCCCCAGCCGTCCCCAGCGCCCCGCCCCCCGGCGCGGCCCCGCACGCCCCGGAAACGCCCACAGCGGCCGCAGCCCGAGCCTCAAACCAGCGAGGGCGCCCGTCCCGCCACAGCCACGCACGCGCCGCCCCAGGACCGCTCGGTCCTCCAGGCGACGGCTCGGCAGCGGGACCCTCCACTCCCCATACCCAGGACCACGGCAAGAGGCGACTGTCCAGCCGACCGTCTCTACCTCCCCCCAGGCTGCGGCTGACGCTGGGGGTCCGCTGGGGCACGAACAGGTGAGCCTCGGCAGGTGCAGGCCCCCGAGGCCAGCGGCAGGACCCAACGGGGAACCGGAGCAGCCGCCCCGCAGCACCGCGGCCCGGGCCCACAGCGCCGCTCTTCCCACCCCTACGGCGTGGGGCGGGGGGGTCTGAGAGCCGCGGGGGCCACCAGCCGGGCGGCCGACGCTCGGCGCTCTGCACCCGGGCGCCGGGAGGGTCTGCAGGGCCGGCGCCCGCCCCCCGCTCCGACACGGGCGCCGAGGGGACGGCGCGGGCGACCGCCCCGGGCGCTCCTCCCCGCGCCGAGGTCCGCTAGCCGGACGGCGCGGCGCCCCCGGAGCTCCGGGGACGCGGGGGCGGTGTGTACCCCGCACGAAGGGGGAGGGGCGCGGCGGGGGGCGTGGCCGAGGGCGAGGGCGAGGGCGAGACCTGGACACGGGGCGTGGGGGGCCGCCACGGGCGCTCGGGGCCGGGGGCGCGGGAGGCGGGGAAGGCCGGGGGCGCGCGCGGCAGGAGGCGGCCGGGGGCGCGAGGGCCGGGGCCTCGGGGGGCGGGGGAGGCGCCCGGGGCCTCGGGGGCGGGGGCCGGCTCACCGTGGACTCCCGCACTTGGCTGTGGAAGTGCTGCTCCCGCGCCGACACCTCGTCCTGCCCTTCCATCCTCCCTCATGCCCGCCGCCGCGCCGCCCGCGTCCGCGCGCTCCGCCGCACCATCGCCCGCCGGCCGGGGACGGGAGCCGACTGACAGCGGGCCGCCGCAGGGTGGGCGACCGCGACCCCCGCCGCCGCCTCAGCCGCCGCCTCAGCCGCCGCCTCAGGCAAAGCCGCTCAGGCTCCGGAGGGCGGGCGCGGGGCGGGGCCGGGGCGGGACCTGACGTCAGAGGAAGGCGCTTCACGTCAGAGGAGCGCGCCGCGGCGTCTGCGGACCGAGCCGCCGAGGGGCGGGACCTACCGGGGTGGGAGGTGGGGCCACGCCCCCAGGAAGTGGAGGCCTGAGCTCGGCTGTGAGGACCAGTCCCGATGCGGGTGGGGACGCGGGCTGGGGGGTTTGCGGCGGCGGTTTGTACCTCCTTCAGGGCTAACAGGCGGGCAGCTGGCCACAGTCTCGGAGCAGTCGTTCCCCGCAGGAAGGAATCCTCGTGGCCCGGCACCCGGTCCCTGGCACGGAGCACTCAACACCCGGTTCCTGGCAGGGTGCACCCAGCACCCGGTCCTGGCGTGGAGCACTCAGCACCCAGTCTCTGACACAGAGCACCCAGCTCCTGGTCCCTGGCACACAGCACTCAGCACAGGGCAGAGTCAAGCAGGAGGTTTCCCAGGGAAACCTGCGCTCTGCTAAAGCCAGTCAAAGGCCAGGAGGAGTCGCCTCGGACACGTGTTGAGTGAACCCCCGGAAAGCTGCCCTCTGCGGATCTAAGTGGTTTCCCCACCTGGAAAATGTGGATAGCCCCGAATGTGAGGCTCTTGCCAAATCCATAAAGTCATCCTCCCTGTCCTTGGGGTGTTCTGTGACCTTCCCGAGACCCTGCACAGCACGTTTAGATTAGGTACATCCAAACACACAAAGTAATTCATCCTCTTTGTATATTAAGTATCTTATTTTGGATTTTTGCCATGAAACTGGATTTGAAGGAATATTTATTCTACTTTTGGATTTATTTGGCTATAAAGAAGTCATTTAAGTTGCTATTGTCCATGTGACTTTTTGTCATCTCTGAGAAGTAAGAAGAAATAGAAATTGCTTTCAAATTATTTTAATGATATATGTGAATTTAGATTTTTTGGTATCTTTTGCAATTTTGAGTTAAAAATTTTTTCGGGACTAAAAAACTTTTTTCTAATGGTGTCCGAAAAGCTCGTCAACCCCATATGCTATGCCTACAATGCATTACACTGTAGATTGTTGGTAGTGGGAGGACTCAGAACTTGAGGTTTGGTTTGAGGGAGTGCCCCTGCTGCCATAGCTGATAAGAAACCAGGAATGCTTCCAACTGCTTAAATTCAATGTTCACTTTTATTTTTAAAATGACTCAACCCATGGGGATCCCTGGGTGGCTCAGTGGTTTGGCGCCTGCCTTTGGCCCAAGGTGTGATCTTGGAGTCCCGGGATCAAGTCCCACGTTGGACTCCCTGCATGGAGCCTGCTTCTCCCTCTACCTGTGTCTCTGCCTCTCTCTGTGTGTCTCTCATGAATAAATAAATAAATAAATAAAATATTAAAAAATAATAAAATGACTCAGCCCAAAAGAGCCAGGAAAAGACACAGTATCTGAGTCTGTTTTTCTAGACACCCGTGTTCTGAGAGCTGGGTTAAATACTTGCCCAAAATGGTCTGCAAAATTTCTGGGTTCATCTCTCCAAATCAGAGGCAGATTTGAAGATGTATGGCATTTAGATGTGTTCCAGAAAGTGGATGCATGCATTTCTGCTCTTTCTAACCCAACCTCCAAGCATCTAGACCTTTCTGTTTCCTTTAGCCCTTAGCCCAGGGTAGGAGACTTCAAAAATGGCCAGAACTCACCCCTCCCTATATATTCTCCCCTTTGACTTATGGCTTTGCCCCTCCTTCCATCAAGAAGTGGTATTTATTTTCCACCCCCTTGAATCTGGACCTGAACATGTAACTTGCTTTGGCCAAAAAAAAAAAAAAAAAAAAACAGTAGAAAATATGAAGCTGCTTGGAAAAGTTGTTGTGCATCAGGGCTTGTCCCTTCTTGCCACCCTGGGCGTCCTCCAACTGCTACTGCTCAAATAAGCCCCAATAGTTTAGAGACAGGGATCCCAGTTTTCTCTGTCACCCAAGCTGACACACGCTTTTTTCTGCATCCCTCTAAAACAAATCTTCCCAAAACATAGGTTCTCTCCCCTGCTCAATACACTGCAATGCGGTTCTTCTAACTGTAGAAGAAAATTAAACTCCTTAACTTAGCATTCAAGACCTTGACTTTGGGGCCTCACCTGGCCCTTCCAGAGTCCTCCCCACTTCATTCCCTGCCGAGCTCTTTGCTACAGCCTGGCTTCCTCCTCTCTCCAACCTGAAATGCCGAGGCCCAGCCCCTTCACCTATTGCTACTTTTCAGAGTCAGTGCTACCTCTCTCAGTGTTCACACCAGGATCTTCCTTCTCAGAAAGGGGAACCCTCGAGTGCTTCTGGTGGGAATGCAGGCTGGTGCAGCCACTCTGGAGAATAGGGTGGAGGTTCCTCATAAAGTTAAACACAGAGCTACCCTACAACCCAGCAATTGTACTACCGAGTATTTATCCAAAGGATACAAACATAGTGATCCAAAGGGGCCCCTGTACCCCAATATTCACAGCAGCAATGTCCACAATAGCCAAACTGTGGAAGGAGCCCAGAGCTCCATTGACTGATGAATCGATAAAGAAGATTTGGTATATATACAATGGAATATTATTCAGCCATCTAAAAGAATGAAATCGTGCCATTTATATCAACATGGATGGAGCTAGAGGGAATTGGAGCTGAGTGAAATAAGTCAGAGAAAGACAATTATATGATCTCACTCATATGTGGAATTAAAGAAACAAAACAGGATCATAGGGGAAGGAAGGGAAAAATAAAACAAGATGAAATCAGAGAGGGAAACAAACCATGAGATACTTAATTCTAGGAACAGGGTCACTGGAGGGGTGGGGTTGGAGGTGGGGTCACTGGAGTATGGGCATGCAGGAGGACACATGATGGGATGAGCACTGGGTGTTGTATCAGACTGGTGAATCCCTGACCTCCAACTCTGAAACCAATAATACACTATGTGTTAATTAATTGAATTTAAATTAAATAATTAAATTAAAAGAACTTTCTTCTCCACAAAGTCTTTCCTGATGATTCCAGTCTCTTCATTTGTTCATCTCTTCAACTGTGGGGACATGATGGAAAGAAGACTTCAGGGGGCACCTGGGGGGAGGGGCTCTGTCGGTGGAGCATCTGCCTTTGGCTCAAGTCATGACCCTGGGGTGGTGGGATGGAGCCCCACACGGGGTGGGGGGAGGGTTCCCTGCTCAGCGGGGAGTCTGCTTCTCCCGCTCCCTCTGCTGCTCCCCTTGCTCATGCTCTCTCTTTCAAGTAAATAAAATCGGAAGGAAGGAAGGAAGGAAGGAAGGAAGGAAGGAAGGAAGGAAGGAAGGAAGGAAGGAAGGAAGGAAAGCAGACTATTTCAGTGTCTGCTCTCACAGAGCTTACGATCCAGGGGTAAAACAGAAACCTTACAGAAGTTACGCTCCTAGCCATTCCTTTGGCCCTCAGCACACACATACTTGTATCTGTGTCTATCCATAGTCAATGTATAAGCTCCGTAAGGTCTAGAGCAACTTTTATTGCATCTTGTAAGCATCCGTGTACTTCTTGCAATACCTCATAGAATGCCTTGCACAAAGTAGACACCCAGCAAATATTACTTGGTCAGTAGGTTTGGTTGCCCTGAGAAATTTCCCAGACTTCTTCACACTTCAGTATGGCTTAAAATTTCTATACCGATGTAAATAATTGTGTGGGCATTGCTAGTTCAGATGTCCGTGGTTGAAGACACTGCTTGTTACTCTGTTCTCTAGTTTTGTACACATCGTGCCTTTGAAACTGCTAAAATTCCAGATAATTCCCTCCGCTCTTGCTTGCTTTGCTTTTCTTGGTCACAATGAAATCAAAGTTTTAAGATATAAGGTGACAGAGACAATTATATTAACTTCTTTATATACCCTATGCAAAACTAAGCCAAGCAATATTCAGATATAACCTGTGATCCAGCCTCTGTCAGAGGTGAAATTTTTCTTTTTCCCTTAACCAAATACAGCAAGATATCTGAACAAGCAAAAGTCTAGAGATAGCCCAGCTATCCATCCACAGTGAGATGGGTAAATAAACTGAGATGTGTTCATGCAATGGACACTGGGGTAAAAAAAATCAATGGACTACAGCTGCAAACAACAATATGGACAAATCTCTGAAACAGTGAAACAGTGTTGAGCAAAAGGAAGACAGAACAATGCATACAGTATGATTCCATCTGAAGCTCCATGCAAAACAAAACAAGGTATTATGTAGGACACAGATGCAAAACAGAACTATCATTACATAAGGATACAAACATGCAGTAGAACTGTAGGGAAAGGAGGAAGGATGAACTTCCAGGAAGGAAGAGCAGGGCACAGAATAGTGGAGGGTGGGCGGTGTGTGGGGGCTGCAGAGGTAACTGTGCTCACTACTAAGACTTGTCACAACCTGGACCCTGATCCCACAGGGCTCCCATCACAGCACTGCAGTGGGCCTCTCTAGTTGGCGGAGCCTGGACCATGTGGCTATACCTGAGCTGCAAAGGAATGTGATATTTTCAGCTTCTTTTGTGGGAGGAAATCCCTGCCTCACAGTATAGGGAATTGTCATGATGCAGAAAGGGGCTTCTGATATGATTCAGCCAAAAGGAATTATGTGGTCCAAATACAAAGTCCTCTGGGGAACAAGCATGCCCAAAGTATAAAATTTAGACTTTCTAAAGGGACAAATGGACTTTAGGGTTTTGCTAAGTGATAAGCAGGCAGTGATGTGCTGGAGACCAGTTCTCAAACACCCCTTGTTAATTTTTAGGTATTTTGCAAGCTGATTGTTAACTACAACTGTTATTTCAAGGTAAGTTATATAAACATACATTCAAATTATATTTTTGAAAGGTAGCAAATATTCAAAATCCATCCTGTCCTAATTATTTTATTACACTTTACCATCAGCTGTGCTCGTAAAGTTACTTAAATGTACAGCAGTGTGCCACTCCTTCAATGACCTCACTTTGGAAGCTGGCATCAGTCCTGGTGGAAGAATTTGCACCTTGGAAATCAGAAAACGACACAAATCAGGGCCGGTTTCCCTCCCTCTTGTAGAGCAGTTATTAGCTGGAGCAAACCATGAGAGCTGCCAAAGTTTTGGAAAGCACCTAAATGAAGATTTTCCATTTGGGGAGCTAACGTCAACCAACCAGCTGATCAAAGTTAGTATCCTTTAAGGGAAATTGAGGAGAACGGGATGGTCACCCCATGGCTGATCATCCCAGGTGTCTGGAGAGCTGGAAGGCTCCTACAGGGAAAGTGGGATTTTCTCAGGAAAAAAATTCTGAACCCATGAGAGGACAGCCAGGTTTAGAAACATCCATTACTTCATACTGAGTAGAGTTCACCAGTGGTTTGTGTGGATGCACAAAATAGATGCATCGTTCCTCTCCCAGGAGAGGCAGCAAGCACAGGCACAGGTGCAGGAGGGGACAAGCATCGTGGGGGTTTCTTAGTCTCAGGGAGCTGCCATAACAGAGCACCTGGCCTGGGCGGACTAACATAATCTTGATTCCTCATAGCCCTGGAGGTTAAGGGTCTGCTTCAAAGGTGCCAGCAGGGCTGTGGACCCCTCAGGCTCTCTCCTTGACATGTGGACAGCTATCTCCTCCGTGTCCTCACATGGCCATCCCCTGTGTGTCTGTGTCTCATCTCCTCTTATGAGGACATGGGCCACACTGACTTGGAACCTTCCCTATGACCTCATTTAACTAAATCATCTCTTGGTGTTTTTTTTGTTTTGTTGAGAGATAGAGACAGAGAGAGAGAGAGAGACAGAGAGAGAGAGAGAGACAGAGAGAGAGAGACCAGAGGGACCAGGACGAGAGGGAGAAAGAGAGGAGAATCCCAAGCAGGC